CGAATCGTGCCAGAAATGGCACCGATTCTCGGTCGGGGACTTCCTCCGTTGGTTTGCCGAGAACGGCACCAACGCCTTCGACGAGGAGGCCGAGGACCACAGGATCGACGCGCCATCCCGGCGAGCGTCGCCTCGGCGCTCCCGGCGCCGTTGATCCCGGTGCCTTGCGGGGCCAAGGGCGTGTGGGACGCTGGTTTTTTTTTTTTTTTTTTTGGGACGGACGGTTTTTGGGGGGATGGAAAGGGAGTGGGCTTGGGACGGATGGTTTTTTTTCGGGACCGGATGAGGTTTGCTTTTTTCTTTTTTTCTTTTTTTTTTCTGGTTTTAAAAGGTGGTCGGAAAGACGTGTATAATTTTTGTAATCATAGTTTTGTTTTTTGGGCCTTGCGAGGCATGAATGTTATTTGTTGAGTATTGTAAACCACGGGTCTTAATGATGATGTCGTGATATGGTATCTGCACATGTGTACCAATCTGGCCAGTACCTATCCAGTGTTCGATGATGGAGATGTTGAATAAACCGTGCCGGGTGATTCAGACCACCTACCAACGTAAAAGGAACGAGGAAAGGGTATTAAAGAGCTTTTCATCAAGTGGATCAAAATTGAAGATGCAACTCACACCACATGACAATAGTGGCACAGAGCTGCTGGCCTGTCTAACCCAGCATAATTATTCCGTCCATATTTATTGTTTCGGATACGCTTTGTTAGTTGCAGCAACGTCCACTACGACTTCTTCAGATGTACAAATTTCTCTATTCTGCTGAAAATTCCGAGTAAACTCTCGTAATTGCTTAGGACATGTTAGATATTAGTATCAACCGAAGTCTTGAAGCATTGTATCTTTGATTTTAACTATTATATCCATAATCCATCCATTCGTCCGCTCCCGTCACGTTATGCTCGAGGAGATGTCAGAAACAATCGTCAACTAGATATTTTAAGCAACGGAACCCTCTGATATCCGAGACCTGATTGAGAATATCGCCCAAAAAGGGCCTCCTTCTTCTTTTGCTGCGTGTCTTGCAGCAAGATAACGTCCTTAAAGCAGTGGTTGATGGCCTCCTCAAGCAAATCGGCAGTCTCGTTGAACTTTCCTCTGTCGGCTACTTCAAGCTGACTGTCTCTCCCTGATCTTTTCAAAAAATCCCTCCTTATCTTTTAACAGACCCTAAGCCACAAAATCTATTATAATACTATATCCTATTTTATCTTCTCCGCTACCTTGATTACCTAGTCTATTTCTATCCGATAATTTCGGATATCAAAAATTCCTCTTAATCTCCTCTATATTAACGACTAATTGCTTTTTTAATAATAAAATAATTGTTACAACCTGCACCGAGTTCGGGTACAGACTGCAAGGCAGTACGCCAAAGGGTAGCTTGACAGGATAATTGAAGGTTGTGGCACGCGTCTCAGACAAGGGGTTCACTGTCAACAACAGGTTGTTCTAACAAAGAGCTACTGAAAGTAGATTGTAGACAAATGAACTGTATATTGCTTGCGTGAGGAATCAGATTCTTCGGGATGGGGAGTGCGCAGCACTCCCCCTACTTATAGGAAGTAGTTATCTACCATACATTTCTGGAGTACCTCTGTACCCTGCTCGATGTGCTCATTCTCTTGGCACTAGGCAACGTCTGTCCTCGATGTCCTGGCACTAGGCAACATCTCTCCTGAGTGCCATCGGTTGTCTCAGGGGCCGCCCTGCGGTCCCTGTGCGGGGTTATTATGCCTGGGGCGTAACAACGTGGCTTAGGATTAAGATCTTATCCCTCCTTATCTAGCCATTTAGACACAATGTTATCCCCTTGTCCTACCCATGTCGAGTATATATAACTGTCGTGGTGTCGATAGAAAACCAAAAGCAATTTCAAGATAACTTTGTTCCAAATGACCGGCCAGGCGACGAACACCGATCGAGGACTCCAGCGATCATGCGAGTCGGCGTAAATGTCGATTGACTCAAAACTCTCACCGCCGAACATGCTGTCAAGCTTGTGACATTCTTATGCTGACTCTTTAAATACCCAGAACTCCTTCGAAAACACCTTCACCGGTCAACTTTGTCGCCGTAGGCCTTTGCCCTCTTATATCCTCGAAGAAATCCTCAACCTCGAAAGGGGAAGAAGAAACCGTCTTCTCTCGACGTTTTCCCTCACATCGATGATGCAAGTTTCGTGGACAGTGACGTCGTCGCTCGGATTTAGAATCGGCTTCATCATCGTCTACATATTGAGAATGCAATCCGGTTCTAGGCACTGGAGGATCGCTGAACTATTATTAGCCTAGGTAATTAGCCAAGGAAAAGTCTGAAGGTATGCACACCAGAATCTTCGTAATCCTGGTGTATTTGTCGAGTGTTGATGTGGAAACATAAGTACGTACTTCTTTACTGAACTTGGATTGGGTTGCTTCGGTCGACGTTTTGACTTGCGTCGACAACGTATGTCTTGTGGGTGAGGAAGACACCCAAAGAATTCCCTGAAGCAAGCACAATATCCAGGAGATCAACAATTCTTGTGGATTGCACTAAGAACCAAAGTCGCCACGAGTGTTGGAGATACAATGCCGATACCGTGACAACTCTCCCACAGCGCGTGAACTTCATGCTGACAGGGTTGTCGTTTATCTCCACGGGCGTCGTCGTCCTCGCTGTGTGAATGGAAGGCACTGGGAAAGAAATAAAGAAATCAGCGACTGACGATGAATCAGACCGGAAAATTGTTGTGTAATTTACCTTGTTTCCCACCGTCCAATTTGGAAAATCAGAGAGAAGAAAGAGAGGGAAGATAAACAATCGATTACGTATATTATGTCGTATTCGTCCGAGATTGGTCGACCCTTCGGATGTGGTTTGACATTGAAGGAGGATCCTTTTGCTCGATTTTGTAGTGGAGTATGGGTGTCAGGAAACCGGAATTGTTGCTTGCTGAAGGCTGGTCGGCGTTGTTCGACAGGAAATTGAACTTGAATTCCGGCCGTAGCACCTGTGACAATTAATACTTAGTAAGAGATGGCACGTCAAATTAGGCTGGATGCCAAGGGATATTGCTGCAAGTCGTTGATTGGGCAGAGGATCATAGGACCTACGGGGAGGGAATCAAATTCCGGAATCAGGGTGTAAACCCAATATGGGAATAAATGTTGTGATACTCTTCAGATCGGTAGCTTTACGATTGGTGGGTTGAAAGGATGATATCCGAAAGAAACCAAAGCTCCAGATGTGGGCAAAAGTTATGTTAGATACGGGAGTGGTATAAGTTCACTGACCGAACCCCCTAATTTCCCATCCCCGTAGAGGCAGCTGCGGCACCTAGAAAGCAGTCCACCATGCACATCAAACAGGTCCACCTCCTCGGGGGACTCTTCCTCACAGTTCCAACCCTCGCAGCACTCAAAATCGCAGCAGCACTCAACGTAATCGAATATGCTCCCCTTCTCGTCACCAATCAAGACTACTTCAACAATACAGCAACCATAATCAACGGCGGCGTCGCCTCAATTGTCAGCGACACCTCCGTCGATCTCGCAGCCAATGCCGAGACCCAAGCTCTCCGACAATACCGCAACAACCCCTCCCTCCGCGTCATCTGGAACGTCGCCCAAGTCCCCTACCGTATCGTAGCCAACAAGAAATCCAAGATCTCCACCCTCTCCGACCTCAAAGGAAAGAAAATCGGTACAATACAAGGTACCTCCGCGGGCTACTTCATCGAACACTACCTCCTCACCGCTGCGAACCTCAAACCAAGCGACTACAAGATCATCAGCGGAAGTGACTGCCGTGCCTCCCCATGCGGCTCCAACACCTTTCCCTCCATGCTCTCAAAAGGCACAATCGACGCCATAGGCTTCTGGGAACCCACAATCGAAGTCGCCATCCAAACCCTCGGCGAACAAAACGTAGTCGTCTTTCAAAACCGCACCGCATACAGAGAGATATACAATCTCCACAGCACAGCAGAAAAACTACGAGACCCCAAAAAGAGAAAAGAGATTGTCCAGTTCCTCAGACAATTGATCAAAGCCCAGAAAATCTTTGACGAGGACCCAACCAAGGTTTACTCGAGAGTTTCCAAGGCAGTGAATGTTGGTGTTCCACTCTTGCAAAAAGTGTGGCCCGTACACGACTGGAAGGGGGGAATACCGGGTGACTTGCTTGATGTTCTGGAGGAGGAGGACAAGTATGTGGCAAAAGTTGACAACAGGGCTGCGGCGAGCAGGGATAAATTGAAGAATTTGATTGATCCTACCGTTTTGGAAGAAGCGTTGAAGGAGGGCTTCTGACAGTGTGGGCTTTGTCGGCTGCCATACCTGACTGCCCGGTTTTCTGCGTTGAAGGTCTTTTACAAGTTGATTTCGACTACATGAGCCAGGAAGCATCCAGTCTAAAGCAAAAACTCAGGAGCAAAAAGGACCATGAAAGCCCAAAAGTAGTTGAACAGGCGGCAATCATGAGACCAGCTTAAAGGAACAAAACATCCGCATTCTCTCATATGATACGCCACCAAATCTGATATTTCTGTGTCCCATGATCTATTTGCAACTCGGGCGTTTTAATGCCAACTTGAGAACAACCCAGTGGCGGAAGCTTACGTATACTGCCGGTTTGACTACTACCGGTTCAAATTGTCATTTCCTTGACACTTTTGCACTTGAATCTATTCAATGTGTTCAATCCCCAAACTCAAATGAGATACAACTGGTGTCATTCACCAAAACTTGCGGTTATCTCAAGCAGGTAAAAACAACCAACTGTGCAACAGCAAGCAAGAAGCATATTTCCCTCAAAATTCTATAGAACAAGGATACTTTTGCTCCCTCGAGAGTGTCAAAGATTGATTTATGCAACTTTATCCAACACCCATCTCCAATTTATACAATTTATCCGCCCTGCAACCCCACAAAACCTCCACTTTGCACAGGACTCAAAAAGCTTGTTTCAACCTGTCACAAAAAATCTTTTTCTTGATCAAAAAAACCAAAAAGAGACTCGGATACCGGGAGTCGAACCCGGGGCTGTTGAGAGATAGAGCAGACACTTCTGAGAAGTGAGAGTCAACGATGTTACCGCTACACCATACCCGATGATAATGTAGATGATTTAAAGGAGTTGTTGAAATGCTCTTTCGAAAACAAGCGTTTTTTGTGAATAATTTGCGTGCACGCAGCGATGGCTCAAAACAGATGATCAAATTGATTAATGGGAGAGATTTCGGGACCGACGATGCAGCCTAGGCCACGTGGGGAAGGGTTTCTCCGTTGAGCATGACCTGCTATTTCCGGGATTGTACCTCAACAGGGAAACCTCCTCCGACGATCGAGCTCGTGGGTCCGGGGGAACAGTGCAAGTTTCATCCAATTTTCTTTGTTCTTCCATCGTGTCTTTAGTTCCGGCGGTCTGGTTAACGGTAACCTAATCCAACCATGTGTGACGGCACGATGTGTCAAAAAGTTACTGTATCAAAGCAGTCACTCTTCTACTCCGGGCAAAATCCCAAAGGGTACTGGTAAAAAGTTATTTCTTTGTTGGAATGGTTGCGGGAAAAGCAAAGCTTCGGTGGGTTGTGGTTATTACCTAATTACAAGAAGTGATTTCTTTGCCAACTTCAAAAGTTCTTTTTTCCTCTTGTCAAAAAGAAACTGATAGATTGATTTTGTTACCATGGGTTTATCATCAGTATCACTATCATCATTATGGATATTGAAATCAAATTATACCTACACTACAAACGGTTATGGGGCATCAACACCAACCCATCGAACCTTGAGGCTTCCAGTCCTCCAAAACCGAGACAGTATCGTCCTGTCAAATTGAGACGACGGCCGTCTGATCGGCGACATGGTGCAGCACGGCCTTGGCATGTGCATGAACCGCCAGAAACGAGTCATCAGACACAGATGGAAAACCATCATGAGTCTGTTGCGCCATTAATAATTCCAAATACCTATTTGACTTCTTCTGCGCGTCCAATTGTGGGTAGAAACAAGTTATTAGTAGTGGAAGTTGACGAAAGGTCGGGTAGTGAGGAAGTAATAAATGTCGAAGAAGATTTGACAAGGGATGTCGAGATGAGTGCTGCAGGAGATGTAATTAATGGGCACGCTGGTGAAAGGATAGCAAATGGAAACGGGTTCAAAGTGGAACTTGTGTTGAGGCCTGCCAAAAATTGGGACAAGAAAGGACAAACTGATGTGATGGATGTTGACGAGGGAGCTAATTAATAGCACTAATAATTACATGACGGTTGGGACTATTTATGGAGAATGAGGAAAAGCGATGTTGTTTATATAGATGCTCTCCAATCCGATACCAAGCTACGAGGCTTGAGAGATATCGGATGTGATCGATAGAGGCGGATCAGGAAACGTAATATAGACCATCCGTACTTGCCACTTATCCGACCACGCCGATTTGTTCATTGTCCCCATAACAATTTTTACGCTTCCCAGATCAATCTTAGTCGTGCCAAACTGATCTTGTCTCATAGCCACTGCCGCCTTCTCTCCTGTTTGGGGATCTGTAACCTCCAGCCCCCATATCGCTGTTCTATCCTTGTCATCATAACCAATGCTTATTTCCACGGAACACGTTTCTATTGCACTGGAAGAACGAGTGACGAGCAACGTTTTCGATTGCTGACGCGAATAACCACCATAAATTCCGATCTCATGCCACAGACGGTGGGTTACGAACGAATCTCTAGGTAGTCCTTTAAAGGCTCGCTTCGCTGGCCCAACACCGGCCTCGTAAATGACATGGCGATCACTTCCCCGAGGAAACGTGAACCAGAAGCCACGAAACATTTGCCGGGGAACTATAATTTCCCGGAGTAGAGATTCCGAATACCTCTCGAGACGGCCAATATAGACTTCTACAGCTCTGGTAAAGTCTATGCACGACGCATCTATCTCGAACCGGCTGTTCAATACTGAGCAGCGGTGTCTCTGGTAAGCAGCTCCAGGCGTATTTGGACGTCCCAAACTCAGCACAACCGCGTCCAGAGGATTGCCCCGATCACCGGTACCACGGGCGCGAAGGACCGCGAGGAAAATACCTGACTGTGTGCACTTGCTGGAGGCCACTTGAAGAAGCGGTAATTTGATGCACAGGCCTGCGTTAGTCATCGAGTAAGGTTGTTTTGGAGACTCGTCACCTCTGAAATATTGACCAAATCGGTAAAAGGTCACCGGATCAGGAGAGAGCATACTTGAGCCTCTCGTCGGCGGTTTCCATCGCGTCTTTACCAAGTGTCCCAGTCTCGTGTCTGGGCTCCCGTCTTCGGGCTGGGCTGCCTCACCGTAATTCCATTCAACAAGTGCTTCGAGACGGGAACATGAGCCCCAGCAAAAGATTGACTCGTCATCGCTCATGGCGATGAGCTCAGTCTGCAGTCTGCACCACGCGTTCTCACTTTCTCCGTAAAGTAGGGGCATGTTGATTCCAAACAGGCCAAGCAGACAATAAGCAATGTCTTCTGGTCGGGTAGTAACACGGTTTGACACCCAAGAAAGGCGCTCCGCAATTGTTGCGTCTTGTGCAGTTGCGGAATATGACGAATGTAGATAGTGACGACCGATCCCAGTAATAGACGACACGGCGTAGGACAGCTGATTTCTTGTGTCGATTCTTCCCCAGTCATACGAGTAAAAGATTAAGTTTAAAGGAGCCAGAAGCTCCTGTAGTGTCCATCTCCTCGTAAACCATTTGGAGTGGCACAGCAACTCCTGGGCCTCGTTTTGCGAGAAATTTGACTCCAGATTCCATGAGACATCCGACAAGTAAGCATAGCAGACCTGAGAGTCCTGGTACCAGTGATACATGGAATTAATGGCCTCGGAAAGCTCTGCACTGCTAGTCTTGTCGAGAAATTCTTTGATTTCCAAATTGTGAACATTGAGGAGCCGCATCGTTAGAACGGTCACCAATGGTGGGAGATGCCGGTGTTGGTTGGCTGGTTCGAGAAACGCGAGAATGTCTGAAGCGACCAGTCAGGCTTAAATGCCCCTCACTCAGCATAGCCCTTGCCAAGTAAGGCTCCCACCACCTACATGCATGTAAGCAGATCGGGAATTCCGAGTGTGAGTTGACAAAGATTTATTAAATGCCAGGACTACGGATCTAAATAACCTCAAAATCGTCTGGAAACACATTCCATCGAACAACTGGACCCTCGACGGCGATTACATTAGTAGACAATGAAACACAAATCTTAGCACTCAACCACCTTCTCACCGTTTGGTGACACGAGCTCATACTCCAGAACAAGCTTCACGCTCCTCCCGGCGTTCAACGAAACCTCAAATGAAACCTCTCCTCCCTTTTTCAGCTGAGCAACAGCCCGTCCCCAATCCTTATTATCTACTCCGTCCTTGCCAGGCATGCCGGTGGGAACAGCAGACCCAGTCAACAGTCCTCTTGGGTAACCGACATCGACTCTCAGCTTCTCATCCTCGCTGACCGGTATCTGGTCAAGCACAGTGATATCGACAGCCTTCCCGGCCGCCGCGCGGGTGTTGGCGAGAGTAATGTATCTGGTGTATACCGAGTTCTCTCCCTTGGTGAACACGCCAGTGGTGCTACGTCTGACGTCAGGCTTGGGATAGATGACCTTGATACCGGGATCGATTCCCAAAGAGATCTTGAACGCGTCGCCCGCGCTGCACCTGGGCAGAGTTGAACGACCCAAAAAGGTACCGTCAAGGGTGAGACCCGTTGACCCCTTGAGGAGGGTCAGCTTGCTCGTATTGCGGATGCGAGCCTTGAGATAGACAGCGGGCTTGTACTTGGGCACGGCCGTGCGGGAGAAGAGGACGTTGGAGAAGGAGATGCGAGCTACACGCTGTTTGGATGCCGTGGAGGATGGCTTGAGGGTCTTGAGGTTGGGCAACTCGTAGTTGGTTGTCAAGCCCTCCTCGCCGACGCATGACTCTTGGAAAGACAGTTCTGGGTTGGCTTCGAGAACTGTTGGTGCTCCATCGTCCGAATCGCTGCTTGCTCCTTCATCTTCGTCTTGGGGAGCTTTCCGATGAGCCATGGAAACGGAAGCCAGTGGAACCACAGAGGCCCTAAGTTCACGGCTACCCGGGGAATAACTCTCTTGGCATACCTCTGCCATCTCTCTTTGAGCTTGGGTTTGAGCTTGGGCTTGGGAGTAGACTTGAATGCCCTGGGCTTGTTGGGCTTGTTGGGCTTGTTGGGCCCGGATTTGTTGGGCTATTTGGAGCTGCCGTAGCTGCATCATCTGGCCCTGGTCGATCGAAGTGGGCTGTATCTGCTGCATAGTATGGTTCCGGACCTGCCCAACTTGGTGCAGTCCCTGGTAGAGGGAGTGCTCCAAGTCCGGGTTAGGAATCTTGAATTTCCGAGAGGCATACCTCTTCAATCCCCCGGCGAGGGCGGGTTTGACAAAGTCAGCACTGCTCTCACTGAGCCCAAACAGGTTGGCGCGAGGTTTCTGTTGGTTCATTGCGTTCTGTGTCGTGACCCAGGTTTCCTTCTGGGCCCGTTCTTCTCTGCTGCGAATAGCACCGTCAATATCAGAACCGTGGCCTCTCCCTCCCAGCTTGACTAGCCATGGCACCAATGTGGGTGCGTCATCCTGGAGGCCTGAGAAGCTCGCCTCCGAAGTGCTCAGAACCACCCGGCTGTTTGTCCAGGTCTCGGAAGTCATGTTGGTCAACTGAGCATCAAAACAAAGGATTGCAGTGTTGGTCTGGGTATTCAGAGCGAGGTCATAAGTGGGGTTCCAGAAGGCAGACGATGTCACATATGAGAGTGAGAGATCACAGGTGTAGCCATCGACAGGCGACTCCTCTTTGTCCGAGTGAAGTTTAACATCGGCGATGCTGGCGATGGAGCTGCGACGGGAGGAGGAAGGGGTGAAGCTGGCGGCGTCGAGTGTAATGCGGACGGTATAGCACCGACGAGGCCAAAAGTTTTCACGCTCCTTTTTGATGCGAGCCTTTTCCTTCTCCCTCTCGGCCTTTCGGCGGCGTTCCTTTTCTCTGATCTTGGCCTTGGCCCTCTCCGCCTTTGCCTTTTGCTTTTCAATCTTTGCCTGTTCCTTGTCCTCAAGCCTCTGGAG